CACAAAAAAGGTTCTGGTGAAGTGGCTCAAGGTGTAGACCCCGAGTTCAAACCCCAGTGTTGCAAAAAAACTAAAAAGGTCCAAGAGGCTATATCACATGTGTTTACACAACAACTGCCAAAAAGCTACATGTGCCTCGATGTTAGAAAGCAGTGCCATGTGGCCTTTGGCAATGTCTTTCCTTTTGAAGAGACTTCTGCCAATGATAGCTGCTACTCCCCCTGGCCTCTGCTTTGGCGTGTCCAGGCTTGTTTTCCCAGCAGTCATTCTCAGTAACCTTCTTCCATTAGCTCTACACTTGATCATCACCTTGCTGGAGCTGAGCTAAAGGACATGTCCAGAGTGGTTACTGGGGGGAAACATGCAGAAGAGTAGACTGAAGGGTAGGAGCACCTCAGGACTTCTCCACCCTCCATGTGCCACCTCACCCTTGCAAAAATCACCAGAGCATGTTTGAGAAAAGTTAAGCTGTTTTATTTCACAGGATAGCTCCACATCAAACCAGCAGGCACCATCAGAATACGCAACAGAGGATCCAATCAGACACTCTATAGGACGGGCGTTTGGTCACAAGGTAGAGAAATGGTACCCAGAAGAGGGCAACACTTATCATCACATGGGGACAGGCAACCAGCAATTTCCTAGGGTGGTTTCAGTTTGTTTTTCCTGTCACAATTTGGGGAGGAGGGAAACAAAATAGACCAGCCACTCTGAAGCAATCAGAACCAAACCTATTGCCAAACCATGTAAACAGTCACACTGCGGGAACTAGGGCCTGAGCAGCAATTGCTAGCCAGGATCGACTTCCATCTGAGGAAGGAAAGTGCACTCTGGTGGTTCTGGTTCAAGGAACAGCTTTGCTATTTGCCTGGGACAGTTCACACAGAAAGGAGGTGTCAGCAAGGGTCAGCGATGGCCATTTGGCCAGTCCCAGAGGATGGGACAGCAGGACACTGGCAGATCAGCCTCAGAGAGAGGCCAGGACTCAGACTGACAGTGAAGTCCCTCCTCACAGCTCCCCTGGGCAGCTTTTATGTGGGGAATTCTCTGCTCAGAATTCTGCTGGGAAGAGAGGAGGGCCCCAGAGAACCAGGGAAGTTGACATGAAACGCCAGCATTAGCTCTGCATAGCAGAAAATCATCTAAGCAACACTTAGGCTCACCTCTTTCTGCCTTTTCCTCCCTGCCACATTTTCCCCTCCCAGCCCTGCAGCACCTGCTGCCATGGTTGTGAGCCAGCCACTCTTCTGTCTGGGCTTCCCAGGAGAATGAGGCATTTGCTCTAGTGTGGAACCATGTGGATGTTTGAAAAGTTAGGAATAGAAAGACTGAGAGGAAGAACCATTACGTTTGTCCTTGTGGTTTTTCCATCAGCTGTGTACTTGCGCTGAGTGCCAAATGATGGCCAGGTCACGAGAAGTCCGCTGCATCCATGCCTCTGAATGAGAAAGACATATGCCAACAAGGCACTCCAGGGGGGCCCAGAGGAGGAGGACACACAGGCCCCTCCCACACCGGCTCCCCTTTGCGTACCACAAACCAGTTTTAAGTGTTTATAAGGCAGATCTCTGAACTGCTGGTTCCAGCTGATAGCCAAAGGATGGCTACCATTTTTCCCTGTGTCTCTTCCCACTCCAATTTCTTTGTTGAATGGAAACCTTTCGTCCCTTGGGAATCCGTTTCTCTCCTGACCCCTGGCTTAGTGACTTCAGAGAAAAGACTCCCAAGTCTAATTCCGAAGCCCACAATTCCCTCCAATTGTGTGCTCTGTCCTGGGTTCAAAAGGCGCTTCAAGGTGAGAAATCGTTAGCACTGAAAACAAGGAAAGGCAAGAATTTTTCACAGAATCCCACAGCTCAGAGCAGCTCTTTAAGAGGAAAAGGGAAGAGGGGAGGGCAGGGAGGGAGAGTGGGGTCGGAAGCACGGCTTGTTCTCAATTTTATCCAGGAAAGGTCTTTAGCAGCGTCTGGGCCATAGGCCCAGGCAACTAGACCAGGAATTAATCGTCTTTGGTCAGTTTTAAATGGACTTCTTGCTGGTTCATTCCTAAAATAGACTGAACATCGATTAGCTATAAAGACAAAAGGCTTGAGCTCAGGGTCAAAGGTTAAGAAATCATTCTGTGAAGCCAAAAAGAAAAAAAAATGCCCGTTATCAACTAACTGATCGGTACAGCTTTCAATAATGGTGATGAACAAGTAGGTAGACACCACTTCTCCTTGTACAATTGGCTATATTGAGAACTACTCACTAGGTTACTACATCCCCCACACTCACTGTACAGTTAGGTTTCTGGTATTTATTTTTACATTGATCTATCTACTAGGTGCAAAGATTTGGTGAGTGGCATTTGGCTGTAATTTAATTGTAGCCTTTTTTAAAATTACAGTTTCACATTTTAACAGTTACTTTCCAGCATTTAAGCAAATACAGCAATATATAGTGGACTAAAACAGGCAGAAGTGGGAACACGAAGCCACTGCTTGGTGAACGCTGACGGGACTGAGTGATGTGTAGCGTGGCTGAGACATGCATAACGCCAATGAGGAGGGTGGGGCAAGTATTTATCCATTTGTTCTGTGTCGAGGCTCAGATTTGGGACTGGAGGAGTGGGAATTTCGTCTGCCATCTGTGTGCACACTTACCTAAATGTGAATTTGTCAGCCATTTGCCAATAGGGGGTGTGTGTGAAGACAGGTGCTTAAAGAAAACAGCTGAGGCTCTGCCTTCAGCTAACAGGAAGGGAAAGGAAGGTCCCTTTTAGGTAAGAAAAAATGAAATCCGTCAATTCAGAGAAAACTCCACACAGCCTGCCTGGTGGTGTATGTGTCAGGCAACAGATTTGTCTATTTAGATTTTTGCTTTTCATCTAGTATTCACAGTAGAAAATGCTGCATTTGGCCTGGGAGGAAACTAAACTTAAGGTCTGGGAATAGCCTGGGGATAGAATTGAGAGGTCATGTATCCTGACTGGACAGCATAGCATCCTTCCAAAGGAATGGCTTTAAGACCTCCCCCTCCCCAGCCGTCTGTCAGATCTTACCAGGACCAGGAACACCCCTAAGCCTTACTCTCGTAAACTGTAAAACAGGGATATCTTTATGTGCTCAAAGGCAGAGGGCCTTTCATAGCCAGGGACTAAAAGAAAACGGCTGGTGGTTCCAGGTCAAGTTTGTCATTGGCCTCTGTCTGGCACTCTCATTTTGTGCCCTTTCTTGCTTTCTCTTTTGTGTGGTCTCAGTGCCAGTCCTACAGACAAGGCAGGATGGCTGGCCACTCCCACACACCCAGGTATCAGTGTCTCACTAGGTCCCTCCATCTGGGGTTTCTTATCTTTTAATGGAGGACCAGAAGGGGCAAAACTTAATCCAGTGGAAGAAAACGTTACTGATGGCGTTTTTAGCATTCGTGGGTGACACATTCACAGGGCCATGCATTAAGGCTCTCAGCAAGCTGGTAGGAAATTTTCACTGTCCCCTTTTCAAACACCATTGTGTTTCTAAAAGAAGGTGTGAATGATTTTGGATCTGCAAGATTTCCTTTCCTCATGATCACAGGACCACTAGTGTTGGTGCAATGCTTTCCAGCTTACCCAGCTTGCTCATGGGGCAGAAACTGAGGCTCAATGAGGCCGAGTGACAAGCCTAAAGTCACATAGCTCCCACATGGTGGGGGGTGGGACTCAAAACTCTGGACCACAGAGGCAGAGAGAGAGCTAGAGTGAGCTGGAGAACAGCAGGGAACAGACCCTTGTTTGGCAGAGGGGGTAAAGTTAAAGTGGTCCACTTAGAATCATATGTGCTTGTGTTCTCTTATCCAGAAACAGCCCGCCCATCTCTGGAAAACTGGAGACATCAGAACAGGAGGTAAAATGGAATAAAAAGAGAGCAACTCAGGAGCTTTTCCCAGCTAAGAGGCAAAAGCCTTGTCATTATACTCAGAAGTCATGGGCCGCCTTTCTATCACCATATTTCACCTACTTAAGTGTAGGGAGACCAGGACGCTATTTCACTTGCATAAGCTCAACCTCCAGTGTTCTGTAGCATAGAAATCCCAAGAACTGCCCTCCTCAGCTTCCAGTCTAATGGGCACTCACAGCTCGTGCACTTCATGCCAGAGGGCATGAGCCGAAGGGTGCCAGGGCCTGATTTCAAATGACAGCAATGTGACTCAATGCCTCCTTGCCTGTTTAGTTCCAAATCTGACACAGTATAATTTGTAGGGCAAGGAAAAGAAAAATTCAGTATTTTGAAGATGATATAAGTTAAACCTCTATAGTTACCACAGATTTATTCCTACAGCATTTCTAGTTTTGAAGTATTCCACACCACTGTGTTGTTTTTTTCCTTTTTTCCAACCACGTGTAATTCTATGTTGTGATGGGGCTTAAGTTCTTACCATCCCCTGATTCTACACACAAACACACGGATGCTGTGGTCAGGGGTCTTCTTGCCAACTTCCTCCCGTGCTTTGGGGGTACAGTTGGCCTTTGGCCTCCGAGTGGAAGGGCAGGGTCACTGGGGAGGACTAAGGGTTTTCAGTAAAGGGTTCCCCACCTCTGGGAGCAGCCTGCTTGGGATACCGCCTGCCCTACCCTTCCTTTAGGGGACAGACTGTTCTGGAAGGCCACGACTTCTGGAGACAGTGGGAGATTGTTTCTGGTTTTGTTTTTCTGCAGGTTAGTGGTATATTGCTTCATTCGCAGTTACTGTGGGGCCTCTTTTAAGTTCTCCCAGAAAAGTCCCTGCAAATCCCACCAAGTAACTCAGTGGGAGATGCTTGGTGGCGTGGGTCTGAGGTAAATCTAAGTTTCATAAAAAGAAAAAGGAAATACTATATACATTTAGCATGTGTGTATGTCCAGATCTAGTATATGTATAGAGATGCATAAATATATATATACATACACCTACAGACACATACATACATATATATGCATATATATGCACGTGGATATATACACACATACATACATATGTATGTAGAGAGAATGTTGAGAGAATAATTTTCCAGTGATGATATGTGGGAGAAGCCATTTAGCATTTTGCCTCAATCTTGGGGAAAGTGGAGCTTGGGCTGCTGTTGCTCCAGCTTTCCTCCGGGTGTCTGTTTGCACACAAGAGGTCTGTGGGATTCACATGGCTGAGTGTGAGCTGCAGCTAATGCCTGGGCTTTGGCTCTCCACAGACACGCAACCTCCCAGGCTGACCTTCTGGGCTCAGCCCTCCATGGCCAGGATCACTGGGAAGCAAGTGGAAGCCACCGAGGCCACCCCAGGCTATGATAGGCCACTCTGGGCCACGGTGGTGCTGCTCATCCTGCAGGTCACATAGTGCCTGACTTGTCCGTTGAACTGTTGGGGAACATCTTCTCAGTGGGCGTCACAGCCGGGCTGCCCACGCCCGAGCTGCTGCTGCTGCTGGACCGGTGCTGAACCACCGGCCGCACTGGCCGCATAGGGGGTGGGCGCAGCTGGGCCCCAGCCAGGCGGGCAGACAGGGCCGGCTTGAAGGTGGTCATCATCTCCGTGGAGGAGCTGCTGCTGCGACGCATGGCAGCATCAGGGTCGCGGATGACGATGGTGTGCAGTGGACTGGCAGGCTCCGAGCTGATGGGGCCTGGCGGGTTCTTCAGGGGCTCCAGGGTGTCCAGCACCACATCTGGCGCCTGCTTGACTGTGTTCTGCCTCTCGAGTTCCCGCAACTCATGCAGAGCCGTGCTCATGGTCTTCTCGATGTCCTGGGGACAGAGAGAGCTCTGGTCAGCATAGAGTTGACAGTCCAAGCCTTCCTGGGCTGCTAACCAGCTTGTGGGTCTTCTGGAGGTTTCCCCAGCAGCCTCATGGCCCAGACAGAGAACAAAACCCCAGGGTGAATGGTAGAATCAAGTGATGTCCCTTGCACACTGCCGAGCACAAGTTGACTTAACAAAGGCAGGTCAGACTACTGGGTAAAAGGGCAGGTTCTGGAGTCAGACAAATAAAAGTTCTAATTCTGGCTCTGCCACTCCCTTGCTATTTAACTTCAGGCAAGTTACGATTCAGAGGAACCTCAGAATCCTCATTGGTAAACCACAGATAATTGTAACACCAACCTCAGTTTATTAAATAATAAGATCTTCACAAAGAATGTGGCATGACACCTGGCACGGAGTTCTCAAAAATAATAGTAGCAATCACAGTAGCAATGAGATCTAACATCAAGCACTCACAAATCCAAACCCTTTCCATTAATAATTTATTTACTCCTCACACTTATAAATAAAGAGCTCATTTCATACACGAGGAAACTGAAGCTCAGAATGGCTAAGTAAGTTGTCTGAGGTCTACAGCTAATTAGCAGCACAACCCAATCCTAAACCCAGCTAGTCTGGCTTGAATCCCTCTGCCCCTAACCATTGTTATTTATTTTACAAAATCTTCATCATTACATAGCGATACCTGTATCAAAACCTCACATTGTACCCCATAAATCTGTACAATTATGTGTCAATTTTTAAAGGTTAAAAATATCCTTGCCTATGGGAAAATTACTTATTTATCAGAATATTTACAATGTTCCACCCAGAATGGTGGAAACGCTACTTTCTTCTCTGGACTATGATCAGAAAACTTCATTTAAAAAAACAAACTGAAATTTCAAAAAGTTTCAAAGATCCTCATCTACCATGACTTCCTAGGCTGTTGTAATATTTGCAGGCACATCATGATGACAGTATTTTCAATGACAAAGTCATGGCACGCCAGGCCATCTGGGCTTCTCATCCCATGGGGTGCCTTCTGTTCCCCCAGCAGGGATAGAGCTGGAAGGCAGCACCAACCCAAGAGTCCTTGTACAGGAAAAGGATCCTGGATTCTTGAGTGAAAAAATATCCCACAGCACTTGCTGGCTGTATAACCCTGGGCCAGTCTTGGTCCCCCAACACTACACTTTGTTCATCTGTTACAAGCCCGTATTCACTGTGAAGATGGGATGTGAAAATGGACATGATGAAGCTTTGGAAACACCAGACAGTGGTTTTCCAACTCCTCAGAGCCCAAGCGTCCTTGGTTCATATGATTGTTACAGGGCTACCTCCACATCTAGCTGATGCAAAAGGAGGCCCGGAGCCCAGTGTGCCCGTTGAGGGCACAATGAGGGACATTGTTTGGAACCACTGCTGGCAGGTGCTGTGTGTACCTCACTGAGAAATGATGACTATTAAGACACGCTTGCTCTTCTGCAAATCTTGAGGCCAATCCTGAAAGAAATGCACGAGTCTAGTGATGATGAGGTTGGCACCTGGAGAGTCTGTGGTCAGCCTTTCCCCATCACAATTCTCTACATTCTCTCCTTCCCCACTCTGCAGGTAACCTCTTGTCTGCTGTGAGCCCCATGATATGCTCCAGTATGGCCAAGGTTAAGGCCCCAGGCTCTTGCTTACCTCACTGTCCCAGCCTACTCCTTTTCTTTCTTAAGGGACTATCCATGTCTGGCTCCATAACTAACATCAGCTTTTATGATTCCCCATAATGCTGACAACTTTAAGAAAGGGCCCTTTGGCCTTTAGCCAAAAGCATCAGTCCCATTCTCTGCAGAAAGGAAGCAATGGTCCTCTCCCTGTCTGCTATATACCGGCCCTGCAGGGATGTTGCTTGCTTCCCATAAACCGCTCCACCATTATACACTGTGCTGGAATTAAATTCCCCATTGCCCCTCCTCACTACTCCCTTTATTTGCTGGGATCCAGTATGAACTGAAAGCTGAAACTCAATAATTAAAATATAATACTTTCCTCCCAGACCCCCTGTGTGGGCAAAGTGTGAGCCAGAAAGACAGAAACTCAGAGAAAGATGAGCAGAACTGTTTAAGCTGGCGCCTTGCATTAGTCTAAGGGGGGAATGCGTGAGTCTACAGGGTGTAGCTGCTGAGAGATGCCAGGTGAGGGAGACACAGAGCAAGACAGGCAATCACTTTTCACCTCCTCCCAAATGAGATCTTCCCACTTTTGATGATAATGTTGCATGTTCCCCAAAACAGCCCTTTTAACTGGGTTTCAGATCTAAATCCTAAAGAACATTTTGAGACCAGGATATCTGGGGTAACTCTAAGTACTTGGGATTCTCTACACCACCTCCCCTTTATAGTCTGCAAAGTCAAGGGATAATCACAGCAATGCTGAGCAGGCGAGGGCTGTCCAGTGTCCTCTTGGCCATTTATATATTGTTTACTATGAGTTCCTGTTTTACCTCTGTCAGTGCATGGAGCTCCTGAGTGGCATTTCTCCAATGAAGAGATTGCCTAGGTACATGCACACTGACAACGTGAGCAGCATCCCCCAAGTGTATTTCTTGGGATGGACTTGCAAAATGCTCTGTGAATAAAAGTCAGAGAAGTCTGGGAGATGAAATGTGTCCTGTTATCATTGTTGGAGATCCACGGTGCACATCAACACATTTCAAGGTTCTAAAAAATCCTTGCAGCTGAGTCTTTTACTTTTGTTAGACCAGCACTCCAAAAACACTGTTAACCACTTCTCCTCGCCCCACTCACATCCATCCCACAGAACAGTCTGCTGTGAGGCCTGCCGTTAGAAACCATGCTCTCGACCCCATTTGATTCTTTATTGACACTCACTCTGGGCCTGGCCTCAGGCAGCCCACCTCCCATCTTGACTGGTAGAGCTTTCTACAGTGTGAGAGTTCCCAGATGATGGTGGGTTCTAGGGTGGTGTTTCCCCGAAGGATGGCCTTCAGGATGAATGATCGAGTTGTCTGCTTCCTCTGTTGACCCATGCCTCTCTTGGGAGTGGGCATCAGGCCATGAGGCCAAGCCAGACCCTAGGAGTGCAGGCTTAGTTCTAGTTGCTGGTGAGTTGCTTCTGCACTGGCTATTCTTCCCTTGGGAGTCTTTCCTGGACTCCTCTAAGGACACAGCTCACAAGCACAGCTCCTCAATGGAATTCTCCCTGCTCACAAGGTTCTGGTGGCTATAATCTTGTAGGTGAAAAATAACACGGGGGAGAGATACATAATGGTCCCCCAGATTCCAGGGAGAGAGAGAGAAAAAAGAATACTCCAGGCAATATGACAGAACTGTCAAAAACACACAAGAAACTAGTTATGCAAACTGTTAAACAAGTCACAGTTCTATTCATCTGGCAAATGTGAAAGTCATATAGATATCGCACTGATACAGATATCTCATTAAAATAGAAAAAACTAAAACAAAAAGCACTCTGGAGTAGCCTGGAACATTCTTCCCTTCCAGCTTCAGGTATGTAGCCTTGCCTGTTCTTTGGGTCTCAGATCACACCCTCCTAGGGAATCTCTCCCTATGTGATCCCCAAATCTCAGGCTCTCAAAATGCCATTCTCCATTCCTTAAAGATATCCAACCCAACTACCACTTTAGGGATGCCCCCTTTACCAGTTGACAGTGCTCACTTCTCTAAACAGTAAGCTCCTGTGGGCAGGGCAGAACTCTATTTTTGGTCTTTATTGTACTTTCAGTGCGTAACATGGTGACTGTCACCATAATCCCAATAAATGCTAAATCATTATTCATCAGTAAATGAAAAGCAGATGGAAGCATGAATGAATGAATGAATTCAATCATGACATCTTGCAGAAAGACCTGCCATTGCCCCATCCCCATAGTACAGTCAACCCTCTCTCCACCCCAGACACTGGGGGTTTTCAGCCTTTAGAACCCTAGCCAGAGATTGTCTCCAACCAGCATCTACCTCCATGGGAAGGCCCAGGCGAGGAAGGATATTAGCTCACTCTCGTGTTCTGTCTTAGCCTTGATCTGGGCAAAGGCCACTGAGCTTTCCCACTCAGCAGTCCCACCCACTGCCCCCCACCCTGGGTGTCTTGCTGGCCTAGCTGCTTCCGCTGGCCCTTACTTCTGCCAGGGCCTCAGCCTCCAGGGACTTGTGGTCCCCCAGGCTGCTGTGCCGAGTGGAGCCGCAGGTCGACCTCATTGAATGCCCTTCTGAAAGTGCCTTCTTGTCGGGGTAGTTGATGCTGCCAGCGCTCCCAAACGTCGCCATCCTCCTCTTCTCAGGGCTCTCGATCCGCCCCCGAGTAAGGGGGATTTTGTGGGGGCTGCTGGGGCAGGCGGCAGCCCGGGGTGGAGTGTCTATGCTGGGGCCCAGGCCCCTGGGTGGACTGTGTGTGTCGCCCCCGCTTCGGCGCCTGGGGATGGCCGCTCCATCGGATCGTAACCGCACTCTGTAAAGGAGCAGGGGGCAGGGAGGGAGGAGGGGGCATGGGGTAGAAGTCAAGCCTGGCCAGCTTCAGGATGGGCCAGTCAACCCCCATGCCACATGCTACACACTACTCTAGGGAAGCCTCCTTCAGTCAGCCTGCACAATTCAGCAATGAAGGGACCAGCTGGAACCTAAAGCAGCAGCCATGAGTGGGAGGTAGAACCTGTACCAGGGAGGAATGTGGAGGAATTTTGCAGACAGAGCTGCAAAATGAATTTCATGCACAAGGAAATTCAGGGCAGGAGGATTTCAACCTGGAAATGCTTTGGTGATAGTTAATGGTATTGGGTACATTATGAAGCCTTCCAGACATTTCCATGTTCTAATGGACTTTTAAATGGTCTGAAGCAATAAGGACTGACTGCACCAAAAAGTCACCAGCACCCTGCCAATAAAGCAGGGGCTCTCTGGGAAACAAACACCTGTTCACTGTTGTTACTCACTCCCAGCTTCCCATGAACAGGACTAGATCTAGGAGGCATTTCCCCATCTTGGAAAACTAATCACTTAAGAGTAAGCACTGTATGCATCCCGGGATGTACCTTTTGTGAACTTGGATATGTTTCCCTCTCAGGGAGGCTCTGGTGGTGGGAAAAGGGCTGGGGTGTATGAGGGGGCAAGCCCTTGCCCTCTGCCACATGCTTTCTATGCTGTCTTTCAGATCCATTTTATTAATCTGCTAAATGGGTATAATATCCCTTGCCCATCTTCAAGTGGTTTGAAAGTATTTTGAAGATAAAACATTTTGATGCAACTATGGACGTCACCAAAAATACTGAGGCCTTGATGAGGGGAGAGGAAGGTTGGAAGTAGAGGGGGGAAAGAGAGGCATGGTGTGTTGGGAATGGAATGTGACTGGGGACCAAGTTCAATGTGGTTAGCCACACTTCAGACCCTATGCCCCTGCCAAGCTAAGCAGGCCTGTGGGTGCCCCACAGGACCAAAGCACAGGCGGTGGAGAGGAAGAGGCATGGAGAAAGACAGAAAGAGAAGGAAGGAGACGAGAGAGGCAAGAGAAGACACAGTCCTCCTGGGAGTCAAGGGACCATGATATTTTCATCTATCTACCCCAGCCTTCCACTTCCTATCGCCCTCAATTCTATGACCTAGCAGAGTGTCCTGAATCATTTGCTGAGTTGAACAGAATATGCTGAGGTGAGGGCATCAGGAATTTGGCTGAAATCAAGTCATAAATGTATACTCCCATTGTGTGTGCCACTGATGGCTTTGATCTGGGAATACCTGCACATGTTGGTCACATGACCCTTCCACTGGGAACAAAATATGACATTTTGAGCATCCAACGATAAAAGTGATGAGAAACTGCCAGCTTTTTCTGTTTTTTCTTCTCTTTTCCTTATTTATCTTTTTTTTTTTTTTAACAACCACACACTTTGGACAGTTTCAGAATGTTGTACGTAAATCCTTGCTGGCAGAAAGGTCATGTGACACAGCCCGGCCTACTCATGGGGGAGGGAAGAAATTGGCAAATATGCTTTCAACAAATAAGTGGGTGGACTGAGTGTCAATTTCCCCTACCACATGAGTAGGTGTGAGTTCTCTGTTTATGTTGTGCATTTCAGGAAATATGCGAAGTCTACATTTTTAAAATGCTGTATAACCAGGCAGGTCTTCAACAGAAAGCTGGGAGGAGCTTTCTGTTTCTGGAAGAAGAGGCAGGAGTTGGAGAGAGGGACGAAAAATACCTGCCAATTTGCCTCTCTCTACTACTATTATTATTATCATTATCATTACTATGGAGACAGGTCTTCTATGTAACTGTTATTATTTTAAATACAAAGCGCTGATTGCTAGTATACGTCTTTCCACCTCCTTTTCCATTCCCCAACCCAAAGCTGATCATTTCATACCTGGCACTCTTGAGCCAGTTCCAGCCAGCCCACCCACTTGTTCCCATTCCATAGCTTCTGAGGAACAAAGGGGCTGCTACAACCTCCTTCTCTCCTTCCTGCCCTGTTGCTTTTCCCAAGTCAGACACAATCAGACTCAGACATGGCAGCAGCAGAAGAAACATTAACCCATCTTTCCTACCGGCCCGTCACCCCCCCAAAGCCATAATCTGAGATGTGCTCTGTGGGGGACTGGAGGTCATTCTTGGAGGAGGTCTTGTCATCCAGCAGTGGTCCGCTGCTGGCCTCGCTGTCAGCCTTTTGGCTCAGGCTGTCAGAGAAGGCATCATCCCTGGGGAGAAGAGAGACATGAATCAGAGAAGCTAGAGAAGCCAGTGTGCACAGGGCCCCTGCATGGCTGTCTGAGGGACTGAGTCAACATACACCTTATAACTGTCTGTTCCCACAGCTCAGGATGGGCCACCTCCCCACCACATATGCCCAGTGCAAAGCTTCAGGGGCCAGACTTTTGAGCAAGAGATTCTCTTCTGTCCCACCACCCCATAAACACCTTCTCTTTCCCCTTCTCTAGCTCGTTCTCTTCCAGGCTGTGCCCAGGCTAAGACAGGCTATGTGCGGGAGGCAGGTTGGAGAAATGAGGTGGAATGTGCAAGCTGAGCAGACTGCTGAGTGTTGAGTCTCTGTGTAGCTCTATGAGAAGTGGAGAGACGAAGGGATGAAGAAGTGGAGAGAGAAAGGGATGAAAAAGTGTTTTCACCCCTCACCACCCCATCCAGGGTTCAGGACAATTGTGAGGGGGATCCAGCTTCTTGGAGTGCCCTGCTGGCCTCATTCCATGGTTCTCTCCCTTCCAGTGAACCATGTGTCCCTGCCAGCAGAGGCCTGGGGATCTCAGTGTTGCTGAGAGCCCTCCACTATGGCATTCCTCTTACAGTTCGTTTGGCCTTGGCCTTTTCCTTAGCTTATCCCTTTCCATACCCCATGAAAACACAGCTTTTGGTCCCCTTTCTGGTTCTATAACAAGTCAGCTTCCCTGAGATGACCAGAGCTTATAGGGAATACGTGTGCAGGAGGAGCCTTCAATGGCTTTCAAAGGAATGGGAAGTGTTGACTTTCTGAGCTTTCCTAGAGGGCTAGGAATTTGGAATATGAGTTGTTTTCTTTTTAAGCCCTGGAAACAAGGCATGTTTGTTTTCTACCTGTCCCCTAAGAAAGCCATGTCTAGAGTGAAGAACAACTGTCAGCTGGTCACTGGCTATAGGGAAGGCCCAGAATGGTGGTGGGATATGGCAAGATCCACTGAACCCTAAGAATCATGGTGAGTGATGAATGCCCTGAGGCTGTCTGATGGATCTAGGTGGTGGCCAGGGGCACTAAACACTGTCTCTGTATACTCTGAAGGATAATAAATATTTGTGTATTTATTAAGTGGATTGCCATTTAAAGGGAAGTTAGATATAACCCATTCTTATAGAACACCAAGCATATTGTATCTGGGAGAACAAATTGCTAGCATACAACCCAGCACTACCCTTTCACAGCCCATTCCAGACATCATTAATCTATTACCATATTCTTCACAGAGGCCTCAATTCCCACTCACATGTCTTGCACAACTATGTACTGATGAGGGATGAGTCCATCCACGCCATTGTGACGGCCCTCCCACCAGTCCTCTGAGGCACGGTGGTACAGGAGCAGTGAGGCTCCCTTCTTGAAGGACAGCTCACGAGGGGAACGCCCCACATAATCAAACTTGGCAATGGCCTCAATCTGCTCCACTTCTGGAAGGAAATCAGGAAAGAGCATCCATGAGGAAAGCATAGGGGCAGCTCAGTATCCCCTCTTCCTTTCATGAGACATGGCCCTGGCTTCCATGGGGAAGGACAAGTAGCATGTCTGGTGAGAACACATGGGCTAGGGCTCAGGACACCGAGGCTCTAGGCTCAGATCCATGCCCACCCCACAGTGTGGCCTCAGGTAAGCTATAAAACTCTCAAAATGTCCAGTGGGAGCTGACATTCCAGATCCTTGTTTTCTACTGCCTCTCTTGTTCTCAACATTTTAACATTATTAAAACAATGTTTGAAGAAATTTTTTTCTTTTATACTATAGCACAAGTTCTCTATTTTTCCATGAGCCCTTTCCTTCTTTGTCTACTTACAATTCTTTTGGTGTTTCTTTTTTTTAATTTTTCTTTTTTTTTTTTTTTTTTTGTAGCACTGGGGTTTGAACTCAGGGCCTCATGATTGCTAGGCAGGCACTTTATCACTCGAACCACTCCAACAGCCTTAGTGTTTCTTAAGCTTTTGAGAGGTTGAACATATGGTGTATGTGCAAAATGTAGTACACAATTTTTAAGGATTCTCAGAATCCTGAAATCTATTATGGATTGGGTCCCCCTCAAAATTCCCATGTTGAAGCCCTACCCCCTGTGTGCTTGTATTTAGAGATAGATCCTTTAACTGAAGTCTCAGAGTGGAACCTAATGTAATGAGTCTTGTGTCCTTACAAGAGGAAGAGACACCATCGATCTCTCTCCATGCACAAACAGAAGAAAGGCCATGATGAGAAAGCAGCTGTCTATAAGTCAAGGAGAGAGGGGTCACCAGAAACCAGTCCTCATGCAGCTCCTTGATCTTGGACTTCTAATCTCTAGAACTATGAGAAAATAAATTGCTATTATTTAAGCCACCTGTAGTATTTTGTTTTGGCAGCTCTAGCAAATGAGTACACTCATCTACAGACTTGATTGTGGGAGAGCTAGAATTCTTCTTTGGGCTACAGCTCAAACATATCTACCCATTAAACATTTGTTGTTCTCTGCTCAGTGGCAGCCCCAACGGGGTTAAGCAATGACCATACAGATTTTGCCCTTAAGGCACCCTACTGACCAGCTCTGTCACCTCTTGTCAGTGTGACCTGGGCAAGTTTTCATAACCTCTTCATAGCTCAGCTGCCTCATCAAGGAGGACGGTTAGGCATGAGAGTGCACAGTGCAGTACACAGACATAGTAAGTATCTAGGTGATGGGAGCTGTTGTGACCATGATCACAATTACTAATGGATTCAACCAATGGGACAGGAGCAGAGAAGAAATCTAAGGTGCAGGAGTTTAAGTGGATTTCCTAAGACAATTACAGGTAATGAGAAGTGAGGAAGAGAGTTTTTGGAGGAGCAGAGGGATTGTGCCTACCATTTATTTAACTTGTGTCACAGTTTGTACCCTAAGAGGTAGCCCAAACTTGCCAAAAAAGGATTGTGTATAGGTTTTAGTACATTTATATTTTTTTAAAGCCCACTGATATTTAATATTATCAAAATGTTTTTAAATGTTAATAGAACTAAAGAGTAACAAAAGCAATTCCTACCCCATGTACCCCACAGACACCTTCCCTAAGCTGAGCTTCCTTAGGATGCTATCTCTCCATTCATTGTGAATGACCTTGCCTCTATCCATCCACCCATCCCCACGTCCATGACATAGGTAAGGTCAGAACTTGTGACTTCCTCACTTTTGAGCCATGTGACCTTCAGCTAACTGAGCTCTGCTCTCTAATCTGTTAAACGGGATTGGTAGTAATAGTACCTACCTTACGGGTTGGTAAGATATTTAAGTAAGTTAACATCCAAGAAGTAGTTGCAACAGTGCCTGGCACTAATGTTTGTTGTTACCCAAGACTAGGGCTTCTAAGGTCCACAAATGGCATGGAAAAACAAAGCAGGCGGAGGAAACTCCCCAGCATCCTCCTTTGTAAGCAGCTGTCCTGAAAAGACTGTGCCTGTGACCCTGTAACATGCAGTAGCTTTGGGACACATTCGGCACTGGTGACTGAGACAGCCTTGTGCAAGGGAGTGTGCTTCAAACAGTCAAGTTGGATTCTACAGTTGGCTCAGGTGATGGGAGGAAAGAACAAAATGACAACACAGCTAAACAGGTCATATTAACTCAGGTCTTATGTCAGAATAGCCTTTTCAGTAAAAGATAGAGCTCTTGGTCTTATTCCCTGCTGCATCTTTGAACTTCACACCAGCCACGTGTGGGAACTGCCTGGGAACCTGTCTGGGAAGGCTGGAGGATTTGCAAGACCAGGAGCAGAGCCCAGACAGGTAGGACCCCAGGGATCCTTCTCTTGGGAAAGAGGTGCTGGCCCAAGCAGAGGTTTGCAGATGTTGAAAGAACACCAACAGGCTGCCCCAGTTCCTTCTTTCTGTTTTTCCCATTCCTGGAGCCGCTAGCAGTTGCTGGACCTTAATCTAGAGCTGAAGGGGCAGGTAGAAGAGTAGAAAATGTAAAGGGGGAAGAAAAAAGGAGCCAGGCTAGAGCACAAGCCAAGCAAGAACAGGGGTGTGTGCAGATGTCATTATGTAAGTGTGTGTGGTAGAAACAGTAATAATAGCTACCTGTTATTAGGAAGTCTGTTATTTGGGTTTCTAGTGCCTGCAAACAGAGAATGTGTTTCCCCCTTATCACTTGCCCACACTGTCACCCCAATCTCCCCCCATCACAATATCAGAACCACTGTCTGCCTGTGCTTTAGGCCAAAATCTTGGTGTTGCTCTTAAGCCCTGCACATCTAATCCACCAACAGCTCCTTCACACAGGCCCCTGAATCTGACCACATCTCACCACCCCTACTGCTATCCTGGCCTAGACCACCATGTCCCCTTCCCCAGCCTCTTTGCTTCTTGCCAGGGGCAAGACATTTCTCCCGACAGCAGTTAGAAGGATCTTTTTAAATCATAAATCAGGGCCGGGGGCATGGCTCAAGTGGGAGACTACTTGCCTAGCTACTGTAAGCCCCTGAATTCAATTCTCAGTACCACCAAAAAAAAATTACCTAATTTAAAACCATAAATCAGATCGTGAAAGTCCTTTGCCATATACCTTCTGAAGGCTTCTCACCGTCTGAGAACAAAACCCAATGTCTTCCCAGGGCTTATAGGGACCTTCATGATTTGGGCACAGGGACCTCTGAGACCCCCCCCCAATCTTCTCCTAGGGTCTCCCCTCCTTCCATCTGCTCTTGCTTCACTAGTCTTCTTGATGTTTCTCTTCCAATATTCTGTTATGATATTTTCAAACACAAGGTAAAATTCTAAAAAATTTATATACTTACCATCTAAATTCTGCTATTAACATTTTACTACACTGGCTTTATCATTTATCTATTCATCCTGCCATCTTACTTTTTAATGAATTTTAAAGTAGGTTACAGACATCAGTATACTTCACCCCTACACACTTCACCATAAATATTCATAGAGCCTTCCTTTTTTTTTTTTTTGTTTTCTTTTGGTGGTACTGGGGTTTGAACTCAGGGCCTTGCATTTGTTAGACAAGAATTCTACCACTTGACCACGCCCCCAAGCTCTTGATGCTCTTATAATGTACCAGGCTTTTTCCCGCCAGGGGAAAAAAGCATTCATTATTGCTTCTGCCTGGGATGCTTTTCTCCCAGATCTTTGTATTCACACACATTCAACAGATATTTATTGACCACTATGTGCCCTTTCCTAATTTCATTCAGGTTTGTACTCAAATGCCACTGCCCTAGCAAGTATTATCCTGATAGTAAACTTGGCCAAAGAAATTACCAGAAAAGAAAACTATAGATTAGTCTCTCTTAGGAATATGGGTGAAAAATTTCTCTATAAAAATACTAGCAAATTGGATGCACTAATATATAAAAAGAATCACACTTCCCTGCCCAAGAGAACTTTATCATGAGAGAGAAAAATTGGTTTGCCATCTAAAAAAAAAGTAATGCAATATATTCTATCAGTAAAATAAAAAGCAAAAATCACACAATCAACTCAGTAGATGAAGAAAAAACATTTGACAGAAGTCTAAGACCTTTTCATGATAAAACACTCAACAAAGTAGGAACAGAAAGGAACTTCTTCAAACTGATAAATGAAATCTGTGAGAAACCCATGGTAAATACCATATTTTATGATGAAATACTGGCTATTTTCCCTAAGAGTCAGGAACAAGACAGGGATGCCCATTTTACCACTTTTATTCAATACTGTACTGGGGTTTCAGCCAGACCAATTAGACAAGAAAAATAAATGAAAGGCATCCAGACTGGAAAGGAAGAAGTAAAACTGTCTACTTTTAGAGTTTATAATCTTATATATAGAAAGTTGTAAGCAATTTACTAAACTATTTGAATGAATGAACAAGTTCAGCAAGATTTCAAGATACGAAAATATATTAAAATCAATTGTATTCCTATATATGCAACATGAACAATTAAAAATTAAATTAGGAAAATAATTCCACTTATATTAGCATCAAAAAGAATACAACACTGAGGAATAAATTTAATCACAGGAGTACAAAATTCATATGCATGTCCATGATTCTTAACACTGTTAAGATGACAGTACTCCCAAATTGATCTATAGGTTTAATGCAACCCCTATCAGAATCCCAGCTGCCTTCTACCATCTGATTCCAAAACTCACATGAAATTTAAAAAAACCCAGAAAAACCAAAATAATGTTGAGAAAGAAGGAAAAAGTTGGAGGAATCACACCTTCCAATTTTAAAACATACTATGAAACAACTGTAAAGAAGATAGCATAATGCTGGCACAGAGGGACACACTTATCAGTGGAATACCATTCAAAGTTCAAAAATAAACCCATAGTTGACATCTATGGTCAACTGAGATTTTTACAAAGGTGCCAAGACAATTGACGAGGGAAAGAATAACCTTTTCAACTAACGTGCTGGGATAACTGGATAGCTACATGCAAAAGAAGTAAGTTGTGT